AGCCCCGATGTCCCTCTAAGAGCGGAGAAAGGTGCGGAGCCGTCCCGCCCGGCGCCCAGCGGGGACGGGGCACGGAGGAAACGCCTCTCTCTCCGCAGCCGCCGCCCGGGCGCGGCCGCGCACCGGTGCCCCCGGCAGCGCGCTGGGGAGCGGCGGTGCCCGCCCGCAGCCGCGGGACAGGTGCGGGGAGCCGGGGTCGGGGCGCCCGTGGGGCTCCCTGCCCGCTCCTGGCGGGTTTCAAACTGCTTTAGAGTGAAAAAAAAAAAAAAAAACCAAAACAAAAAAACAAAACCAAACAAACTTATTTCTACAAGTTCAAAAGGGAGGAAAATAAAGGTTATGGTAAACCCCAACACCGCTGCTAGTGAGGTGCTCTGGGCTGTCACAGTCCTGGAGCCTGCCCAGCGCTCGCCCACCGGAAAATTTCGGTGGCTCAGACAGACCCGAGCTGAGAGAGGGCCTTCCTCCTCCTGCCCAGGACAGCCAGTCTGTGCCAGGGCAGGAGGACCCCTCCGTGCTGTCTGGGGGGCAGCCACAGGCCCCCCCACCCCTCTGCATTAGATTATAGTCTATCCTATTTCCCACCTACCTCTTAACACAGGCTGAACCCACAATATCCTTATTTTTCTTCTGTGGGAGTCCCTTGCTCACAGACAAGCCTGTATAAACCTTCACTGTACAAACACCGGCTGTAGCCACCAGCATGCTGACACAAGGATCTCAAACCACCTTAAAAACACTAATTTAAGCTGCCTCTTGAGCTGTCCTTCGTTTCCTAGGGGTTTTTTTTGGACTTATGAATGAAAGCAGAGAGGAGTTGCACAAATTACTGTGCAAGTCAACGAAAGAAGTAAAAATTGAGCCAGAGCGTTCAGATCTCTTGGACCTCAGCACTAACAGCCAGTATATTAATGTATTTACACACAGGTGTTACTACCAATTATCTCAGGAGCAGTGCTGGTTCAGAGAGACTATTATCACTTGCAGCTGTTAACATGAGGATGCATATGAAAGCAAGGAACATTATTTTAAGCTATGAAACCCAGATTGAGCTGTGTCATCACGGGTGAATTGGTCTGATTATTTGCCAGGCTGTGCATTTAGTTTATTTGTATAATACTGAAGTGATCCAGAATATGCTGAGGCAGATACAGGCTTTAATAGTCTGTCTAAAATGTATTGTAACATACAAACAAAAGTCTAGCTTTCCAAAGTCCCCTGGCTTCTCCTATAAAACTGCAGAGAGCATTTTGAATGGTTTAGATTTTGCAAACCAGTTTTCCACATCATAATTTTTACGTGCAAAAACCAGAATCTGCATTGAATTCATGTAGCTAGCCCAGCAGGCACGCAAGCCATTTCAGAACAAATTGCTATTGAACAGGACAAACATATGTTAGCATATGAAAATGGGTATCCAGCTACAAGGAATAAAAGACTAAAGCCAAATAATTATTTTGATTTGAAAGAACAGCTTTCTTGTGTATGATGTTCTGGTGCCACAGTAAGTGTCGCTACCATTACTCTGGATGGCAGTCACCAAAACCCAGCAGTTATTTCTAGCTATTTCTTTAATAGTAAGAAAATGGCAGTGAGTTAATACAGTGGGAAGGAGCACACTTTTGACTCAATTTAGTTTCTGTTGAATCACACATTTCAGACTGGGTCCCTAGGGAACACCTTAGGGAGAGGCAAGCTCAGGACTTTTTCTTCAAAGTAGGGCACAAGCCCTCTCTCATGGATGATGTTTCTGAATCCTCTTGGTCACGGACAAGTGACAGAGAGAAGCTCTGTCAGGAAGGAGTGATAGATGAACTCATCCAGTTTAGCAAGTAGCAAAAAGCTACCCTTGTTATTAATTAGATTTGCCATTAGTCTTGTTTAGAGTTAGACTATTTTCCAGATTATTTTTAGTTAGATACTGTGCCCAGACTTTGTAACATTAAACACAGATACACTTTTCTAAAAACAAACAAACAAACAAACCAAATTAAAATCACAGCGAAAGGTTACTGGAGGGACAGTAATCAGGTGTATAATTCTGTAGTACATCAAACTGCATTCTGCTTTTGTAACAGTATTTTGAATTTACATGTTGTCTTTTATCCTAACGGACTGCAAGGCCCGCACAAACAAGATACTGTATAAACCCCATCACTAGCACGTGGTCACACCTGGGCTGCTGAACAAGAACCTGCAACACACACAATGGCATGCAGGGCAACAAGGGGAGACAGAAATGTTGGCCATGGTGTTGAGGTCTGTATGGCAACAGATATATGTCTTTTACAAGGACACGGATCTACCTACACTCTTCCAGATTTGAAGTTGAAGTTTCATACACACAAAAATGCTAATCTTTACCCCTAAGATCTCACCTCCTCCAACATGCACCTGAGATGGCAAATTGTTGTTATCTGGGTTTTTCCAGCATCATCCACCCTCTCCTGTCATGGGTGCTAAATGCACTTAGGAGGGTAGATATACTTAAGAGGCAGCTGTTTCCCAGCTCAACAGATCCCTGAGTGAGCCTTAAAGACGATACTTTTACAATGGGATATTTGGACGATATAATGTGTCCTCAGTCAGCTGATCTAGGAGGGAAGTTTCAGAATTAGCCTGAAGGAAAAATTCAATGTCTATGCTAAGAGCTATTGCTCTTTAAGGATGTGGCAAAAAAAAAAAAAAAACAACATCCCAGTATGCTAAGAGCTATTGCTCTTTAAGGATGTGGTAAAAAAAAAACAACAACATCCCAGTCTCTCTTCAAAATAGTCTCTCTTTTGTAGAAATCTTCAGTATTTACTTGATTGAAATCCTAATCTAGTTATTTTGTTTACCTATCTCTTAAATTAGTTAACATGATTAAGCTTCTAGAAATGTCTTCCATTAACTAGTTTAGCTGCAAGGGGAAAACTACAAGATGGGCAGAACAACACACGAATTAATTTAATCTTGGAAAACTACAAGATGGGCAGAACAACACACAAATTAATTTAATCTTTAGCCCCTACCTAGTATGTCAGTTCAGAAAAGAATGTAAGCAGTAGCTTTACTTTAACGTGAGCTTAAAACATTCACTTCAAAGGAACTAAATTCTTAAAATTCTTCGATGAACTAGATCCTAGACCCTGAAATCAAAGTGGATTGCAGGTTCAAACCTCCATGGGACTAAGTTTTACCCCCACAAGAATTACATCAAACATTACATTGAAAGAGTCCAGCAGATTTTCAGTGAAAAACTGCCAATTCTAATCTATGCAGTTTTCTAGTTCCTGGGAAGTCTGGATTGTATTGATAACTGTCTCACTTGGGAAAAGCATATTTGTAGGTTGGGTTGGTATCTTCATTAAAGCAGCTGATGGGGAATGGAATAAGGTTTTCCACATAGTGTGCCTTTCTTATGCCACAGTATTTGCTTGCTTTTCAGCTAAATAAATAGGTCAATTTAAATATACTACCTCTTTCGACAGACCTTGTCCATATTTATATCATCAGATTCCGTAGCTACAACAATGTTGTTACATGGAATACAAGAAATTTCTCTTGGGCTGGTAGAATCTTTCAAAGTGAATGAAACATACTGTAGTGACTAAATTTAACAGAAGGACCCCTTTTAACTCCAACTCATATAATTAACTTTTACCAAAACATGCATGTCTGTGTATGTATACGTAACATATATGTATTTATTTGATCTTTTCGAGAGAAAGTATTATGCTCAGTCTAGGCTCCTGAAAATCTGCCTTATATCCAACACTGGTTATTTAATACTGGAAAGGAGGAAAAGCATATGTTATGTTTAACTTCCACTTAGTTGCATTCTAAGACCATTATGTAGTGTTCAACTGCTTATTTGAGACCAAGAGACAGGATCAGAATGCAC